GCCCACCACTCCCACTCACACAGTGCGCTAACCACTGCACCACCACTCCCCACTCACACAGTGCGCTAACCACTGCACCACCACTCCCCACTCACGACAGTGCGCTAACCACTGCACCACCACTCCCCACTCACACAGTGCGCTAACCACTGCACCACCACTCCACTTCACACACAGTGCGCTAACCACTGCAACCACCACTCCCCACTCACACACATTGCGCTAACCACTGCACCCACCACTCCCCACTCACACACAGTGCGCTAACCACTGCACCACCACTCCCCACTCACACCAGTGCGCTAACCACTGCACCACCAATCCCCACTCACACAGTGCGCTAACCACTGCACCACCACATCCCCACTCACACACAGTGCGCTAACCACTTGCACCACCACTCCCCACTACACACACAGTGCGCTAACCACTGCACCACCACTCCCCACTCACACACAGTGCGCTAACCACTGCACCACCACTCCCCACTCACACACAGTGCGCTAACCACTGCACCACCACTCCCCACTCACACACAGTGCGCTAACCACTGCACCACCACTCCCCACTCACACAGTGCGCTAACCACTGTTGTGTGGAACTCCTCTGAGTAACAAACAAACATAGGGGGAGATGGAACCCAACGGGGTGACCACTTAGCTGGCATCGCGTGCACTCAAACAGACCGAGTCGGTGTTTAATGGGCGAATCGACGCGGCGTCGATTCTCTAAATCGCGACGTGATGTCTCCCCGCAGTTGTGATCGTGAGAAGTTGCCGCGATGCTAATTTCGTGAAGTTGTCGTCGTCCATCGCGACTCCGCTCACCCAGACCGTCGGTGCCGTGCGAGGGTGGAGTACTCTTGCCACGGGTCGGAGATTTGAGTCGCGAGCCATCACACAGAACGCTTGGTCACCGTATTCTCCCGCATGGACCCCGCGACAATTGCGTTTTGTGTAAACAAAACAATCAGAGAGCCCGCACCTCCACGCACCTCCACGCACCTCCACGCACCTCCACGCACCTCCACGCACCCCCACGCACCCCCACGCACCTCCACGCACCCCCACGCACCCCCACGCACCCCCACGCACCCCCACGCACCTCCACGCACCTCCACGCACCTCCACGCACCTCCACGCACCCCCACGCACCTCCACGCACCCCCACGCACCTCCACGCACCTCCACGCACCTCCACGCACCCCCACGCACCCCCACGCACCTCCACGCACCTCCACGCACCTCCACGCACCCCCACGCACCTCCACGCACCTCCACGCACCTCCACGCACCCCCACGCACCCCCACGCACCCCCACGCACCTCCACGCACCTCCACGCACCTCCACGCACCTCCACGCACCCCCACGCACCTCCACGCACCCCACGCACCTCCACGCACCTCCACGCACCTCCACGCACCCCCACGCACCCCCACGCACCTCCACGCACCTCCACGCACCTCCACGCACCCCCACGCACCCCCACGCACCTCCACGCACCTCCACGCACCTCCACGCACCTCCACGCACCCCCACGCACCCCCACGCACCCCCACGCACCTCCACGCACCTCCACGCACCTCCACGCACCTCCACGCACCCCACGTACCTCCACGCACCCCCACGCACCCCCACGCACCTCCACGCACCTCCACGCACCTCCACACACCCCCACGCACCTCCACGCACCTCCACGCACCTCCACGCACCTCCACGCACCCCCACGCACCCCCACGCACCCCCACGCACCTCCACGCACCTCCACGCACCTCCACGCACCCCCACGTACCTCCACGCACCCCCACGCACCCCCACGCACCTCCACGCACCTCCACGCACCTCCACACACCCCCACGCACCTCCACGCACCTCCACGCACCTCCACACACCTCCACACACCCCCACACACCTTTACGCACCCCCACACACCTCCACACACCTCCACACACCTCCACACACCTCCACACACCCCCACGCACCTCCACGCACCTCCACACACCTCCACACACCCCCACACACCCCCACACACCTCCACACACCTCCACGCACCTCCACGCACCTCCACACACCTCCACACACCCCCACACACCTTTACGCACCCCCACACACCCCCACACACCTCCACACACCTCCACACACCTCCACACACCTCCACACACCCCCACGCACCTCCACGCACCTCCACACACCTCCACACACCCCCACACACCCCCACACACCTCCACACACCTCCACACACCCCCACACACCCCCACACACCCCCACACACCCCCACACACCTCCACACACCTCCACACACCCCCACACACCTCCACACACCTCCACACACCCCCACACACCTCCACACACCCCCACACACCCCCACACACCCCCACACACCTCCACACACCCCCACACACCTCCACACACCTCCACACACCTCCACACACCCACACCCCCACACACCCCCACACACCTCCACACACCCACACACCCCCACACACCCCCACACACCCCCACACACCCCCACACACCCCCACACACCTCCACACACCCCCACACACCTCCAGAAACCTCCACACACCCCACACACCTCCACACACCCCCACACACCTCCACACACCCCCACACACCCCCACACACCTCCACACACCTCCACACACCTCCACACACCCCCACACACCTCCACACACCTCCACACACCCCCACACACCTCCACACACCCCCACACACCCCCACACACCCCCACACACCCCCACACACCTCCACACACCTCCACACACCCCCACACACCCCCACACACCCCCACACACCTCCACACACCCACACACCCCCACACACCCCCACACACCCCCACACACCCCCACACACCTCCACACACCCCCACACACCTCCAGAAACCTCCACACACCCCCACACACCTCCACACACCCCCACACACCTCCACACACCCCCACGCACCTCCACGCACCCCCACGCACCTCCACGCACCCCCACGCACCTCCACGCACCTCCACGCACCTCCACACACCTCCACGCACCTCCACACACCTCCACGCACCTCCACGCACCCCCACGCACCTCCACGCACCCCCACGCACCTCCACGCACCTCCACACACCTCCACGCACCTCCACACACCTCCACGCACCTCCACGCACCCCCACGCACCTCCACGCACCCCCACGCACCTCCACGCACCTCCACGCACCCCCACGCACCTCCACGCACCTCCACGCACCTCCACGCACCTCCACGCACCCCCACGCACCTCCACGCACCCCCACGCACCTCCACGCACCCCACGCACCTCCACGCACCCCCACGCACCCCCACGCACCTCCACGCACCTCCACGCACCCCCACGCACCCCCACGCACCTCCACGCACCTCCACGCACCTCCACGCACCTCCACGCACCCCCACGCACCCCCACGCACCTCCCACGCACCTCCACGCACCTCCACGCACCTCACGCACCTCCACGCACCCCCACGTACCTCCACGCACCCCCACGCACCCCCACGCACCTCCACGCACCTCCACGCACCTCCACGCACCCCCACGCACCTCCACGCACCTCCACGCACCTCCACGCACCTCCACACACCCCCACACACCTCCACACACCTCCACACACCTCCACACACCTTTACGCACCCCCACGCACCTCCACGCACCTCCACACACCTCCACACACCCCCACACACCCCCACACACCTCCACACACCTCCACACACCCCCACACACCCCCACACACCCCCACACACCCCCCACACACCCCCACACACCCCCACACACCTCCACACACCTCCACACACCCCCACACACCCCCACACACCTCCACACACCCACACACCCCACACACACCCCCACACACCCCCACACACCCCCACACACCCCCACACACCCCCACACACCCCCACACACACCCACACACACCTCCACACACCCCCACACACCTCCAGAAACCTCCACACACCCCCACACACCTCCACACACCCCCACACACCTCCACACACCCCCACACACCCCCACACACCCCCACACACCTCCACACACCTCCACACACCCCCACACACCCCCACACACCCCCACACACCCCCACACACCTCCACACACCCCCACGCACCTCCACACACCCCCACACACCTCCACACACCCCCACATACCCCCACACACCCCCACATACCCCCACACACCCCCACACACCTCCACCCTCCTGTGATATGAGGATATATCCGGCTCACTGACGTATCACAACTCGTCACGGTGATTGGCTCTGCCGGTCCTGGTCTACAGCCAATGGGGGGAAGCCTGGGGACGTGGCCCTGACGTGATGGCAAGGTGACAGCTGTAAGGAGATGATTGGTTCTGCTGGTTTTGGCCACAGCCAATGGGGAGACGAGTCAGGGGCGTGGTCCCGGGGGCTGACGAGGGAGCCTGGAAGATTCCATGGAGGCTAACCAGGATTGGTGGAAACGTACCATGTGACCCGGGTATTAAATAGGGGTGGACACTAACGACACGTGGTCAGAACGGGAACGAACGGAGGAAGGGGCCACGCGGGAGCGGGGCTCCGGGTTGCCACGTGGCGGTGAGTCTCTCTCTCTCTGTCCCTCTCAAGCTGCTGCCTGTCAGCAGCGTGAAGGGAACTGTGACGCAAGTTGAATAAAAGACGGATTCCAGAAGTCGCCTCAACGAGCTTTATTACAGATGCAACACTGTCCATAGACTAACACTGTCCATAGACTCAACACTGCCCCATAGACTCAACACTGTACATAGACTCAACACTGTACATAGACTCAACACTGTACATAGACTCAACACTGTACATAGACTCAACACTGCACCATAGACTCAACACTGTACATAGACTCAACACTGCACCATAGACTCAACACTGTACATAGACTCAACACTGTACATAGACTCAACACTGTACATAGACTCAACACTACACTGACATAGACTAACACTGTACATAGACTCAACACTGTACATAGACTCAACACTGTACATAGACTCAACACTGTACATAGACTCAACACTGCACCATAGACTCAACACTGTACATAGACTCAACACTGCACCATAGACTCAACACTGCACCATAGACTCAACACTGCACCATAGACTCAACACTGCACCATAGACTCAACACTGCACCATATACTCAACACTGCACCATAGACTCAACACTGCACCATAGACTCAACACTGCACCATAGACTCAACACTGTACATAGACTCAACACTGTCCATAGACTCAACACTGTACATAGACTCAACACTGTACATAGACTAACACTGCCCATAGACTCAACACTGTACATAGACTCAACACTGCACCATAGACTCAGCACTGCCCATCTCTCTCTCCCCGTGTCTCTCTCCCCGTGTCTCTCTCCATGTCTCTCTCTCCCCGTGTCTCTCTCCCCGTGTCCCTCTCTCTCTGTGTCTCTCTCTGTGTCTCTCTCTCTGTGTCTCTCTCTCCCCGTGTCTCTCTCCCCGTGTCCCTCTCTCCTCGTGTCTCTCTCTCTGTGTCTCTCTCCCCGTGTGTCTCTCTCCCCGTGTGTCTCTCTCCCCGTGTGTCTCTCTGTGTCTCACTCCCCGTGTCTCTCTCCCCGTGTCCCTCTCTCCCCGTGTCTCTCTCTCTCTGTGTGTCTCTCACTATGTCTCTCTCTGTCTCTCTCTCCCCGTGTGTCTCTCTGTGTCTCTCTCTGTCCCTCTCTCCCCGTGTGTCTCTCTGTGTCTCTCTCCCCGTGTCCCTCTCTCCCCGTGTCCCTCTCTCTCTGTGTCTCTCTCTGTCTCTCTCTGTGTCTCTCTCTGCGTGTGTCTCTCTCTGCGTGTGTCTCTCTCTCTGTGTCTCTCTGTGTCTCTCTGTGTCTCTCTCTGTGTCTCTCTCCGTGTCTCTCTCTCTGTGTCTCTCTCTGTGTCTCTCTCTGTGTCTCTCTCTGTGTCTCTCTCCCTCCCCGTGTCTCACCACCCCGTGTCTCCTCCAGCTGGTGCCGCTGTCTCTCCGCCCCCTGCTCTCTCCCTGTCCGCCCAGGGCTGTCCGCTCTTCGCCATGCTGCCTCCGTGCGCCTGGTAAGCGATGAGCGTGTGGGCAGGCAAGCCCAGCCTGCGCTTGTACATACCCCTAGATAGACAGAGACACACAGTGAGACACAGACAGAGACACAGACACAGACAGAGACAGATAGAGAGACGCAGACAGATAGAGAGAGACACAGAGACACAGACAGAGACACACAGTGAGTGAGACACAGACAGAGACACAGACAGAGATACAGACACAGACAGAGACAGAGATGCAGACAGATAGAGAGAGACACAGACAGAGACACAGACACAGACAGATAGAGAGACGCAGACAGATAGACAGACAGACAGACACCGTCAAAGAGACACAAAGACACGGTCAGAGAGACACGGCCAGAGAGATGAGACAAAGACACAAGCAGCATCGTCATTAGCATGGGTGGGTGGGTGGGTGAGAAGGTGGGTGAGTAGGTCGATGAGTGGCTGAGTGAGTGGCTGAGTGAGTGGCTGAGTGAGTGAGTGGCTGAGTGAGTGGATGAGTGAGTGGGTGTGTGGCTGAATGAGTGTATGGGCGAGTGAGTGACTGAGTAAGTGGGTGAGTGAGTGAGTGGCTGAGTGAGAAAGTGAGTGGCTGAGTGAGTGGCTGAGTGAGTGAGTGGCTGAGTGAGTGGATGAGTGAGTGGGTGAGTGGCTGAATGAGTGGCTGGGCGAGTGAGTGACTGAGTAAGTGGGTGAGTGAGTGGCTGAGTAAGTGAATAGATGAGTGAGTGGCTGAGTGATTGAGTGAGTGGCTGAGTGAGTGGGTGAGTGAGTGAGTGGCTGAGTGAGTGGGTAAGTGAGTAGATGAGTGAGTGGCTGAGTGAGTGGCTGAGTGAGTGGGTGAGTAAGTAGGTGAGTTGGCGAGTGAGTGGGTTAGTAGGTGGCTGAGTAGGTGGGTGAGTAAGTGGGTGAGTAGGTGGGTGAGTAGGTGGGTTAGTTGGTGAGTGAGTGGGTGAGTGAGTAGGTGGCTGAGGTGGGCGAGTAGGTGGGTGAGTAGGTGAGCGTCTCGCTCACCCAATGGTGATGACGGCCTGGCTGCTGTCAGCGTTGGAGGTCCACAGGGCGATGCGGTCTTCCTTGCCTCTCACGCTCACCACGGCACCACACACCTCCTCGCCGTACGGGGTGAACGCCTCACCAACCAGCATCAGCAGCTGTGGTGGGTGGGTGAGTGAGTGGGTGAGTGGGTGTGTGAATGGGTGGGTGAGTGGGTGGGCGAGTGAGTGGGTGGGTGAGTGGGTGTGTGAATGGGTGGGTGAGTGGGTGGGCGAGTGAGTGGGTGGGTGAGTGGGTGTGTGAATGGGTGGGTGAGTGGGTGGGCGAGTAAGTGGGTGGGTGAGTGGGTGTGTGAATGGGTGGGTGAGTGGGTCTGCGAGTGAGTGGGTGAGTGGGTGTGTGAATGGGTGGGTGAGTGGGTGGGCGAGTGAGTGGGTGGGTGAGCGAGTGGGTGGTTGAGTTAACGGGTGACTGAGTTAGCGGGTGGCTAAGTGAGCGAGTGGCTGAGTGGCTGAGTAAGCGAGTGGAAGAGTGGGTTAGCGAATGGCTGAGTGGGTGAGTGGCGGGCTGAGTAAGCGAGTGGCTTGGTGAGTGGCTGAGTGGGTGAGTGACCGGATGAGAGTGTGAGTGAGCGAGTGGCCGGGTGAGCGAGTGGCTGAGTGCCTGGGTGGCTGAGTGAGTGGGTGGCTGAGTGAGTGGGTGGCTATGTGTGCGAGTGAGTGGCTGAGTGACTGGGTGGCTGAGTGAGTGGGTGGCTGAGTGGGTGAGTGGCTGAGTGAATGAGTAGCTGAGTGGCTAAGTGGGTGAGTGAGTGGGTGGCTGAGTAAGTGGGTGGCTGAGTGAGTGAGTGGGTGGCTGAGTGAGTGGGTGGCGGAGTGAGTGGGTGGCTGAGTGGGCGAGTGAGTGGCTGAGTGACTAGGTGGCTGAGTGAGTGGGTGGCTGAGTGGGTGAGTGAGTGGTTGAGTGAATGAGTGGCTGAGTGGGTGAGTGGGCGAGTGAGTGGCTGAGTGGGTGAGTGAGTGAGTGGCTGGCTGAGTGAGTGGCCGGGTGAGCGTCTGCTCACCACCACCACTACTCCTCACCGTCTCCAGGCACAGGACATCCAGGTCCAGGTCGCGCTGCTGCTTTGTGAGAAAAATCAACCATCGTCCACCAACTAGGTTCGCAGGGTCTTCCCACATTGGAGTCACCCCCTCCTAGACGACACAGCGGGTGAGTGGGTGGGTGAGTGAGTGGGTGGGTGAGTGGATGGGTGAGTGGGTGGGTGAGTGGGTGGGTGAGTGAGTAGGTTAGTGAGTTAGTGGGTGGGTGAGTGGGTGAGTGAGTGGGTGAGTGAGTGGGTGAGTGAGTGGGTGAGTGGGTGAGTGGGTGGGTGAGTGAGTGAGTTAGTGGGTGAGTGAGTGGGTGAGTGGGTGGGTGATTGAGTGGGTGGGCGAGTAGGTTAGTGAGTTAGTGAGTGGGTGAGTGAGTGGGTGGGTGGACGAGTGGGTGGGTGGGTGAGTGAGTAGGTTAGTGAGTGAGTTAGTGGGTGGGTGAGTGAGTGAATGGGTGGTTGAGTGCTTGGGTGGTTGAGTGGTTGATTGGGTGGGTGGGTGAGTGGGAAAGTGACTGACTGGGGGGGTGAGTGAGTAGATAGGTTGGTGGGTGGATGAGTGAGTGGGTGAATGAGTGGGTGGTTGAGTCGAGCGGTGACTGAATGAGTGATTGACTGAGTCACCTTGAACACTGCGTAGTCAGGGCCATCTATGAGTCGGCTGGCTGGCTGGATGTGGTCGTAGAGACTACGGGGGGAGAGAGAGACTCACTCAGCCAGCCACTCAATCACGCACCCACTCACTCACTCAGCCAGCCACTCAATCACGCACCCACTCACTCACTCAGCCAGCCACTCACTCACCCAGCCACTCACCCACCCAGACACTCACTCAGCCATTCACACACTCACTCAGCCAGCCACTCACTCACTCAGCCACTCATTCACCCAGCCACTTAATCACTCAGCCACTCACCCACTCACCCACCCAGCCACTCACTCAGCCATTCACACACTCACTCACCCAGCCACTCATACACTTAGCCAGCCACTCACTCACCCACTCACTCACTCAGCCAGCCACTCACTCACTCAGCCACTCACTCACCCAGCCACTTAATCACTCAGCCACTCAGCCACTCACTCACCCAGCCACTCACCCACCCAGCCACTCACTCAGCCATTCACACACACACTCACTCACCCAGCCACTCACTCACTTAGCCAGCCACTCACTCACTCACTCACCCAGCCACTCACTCACTTAGCCAGCCACTCACTCACTCAGCGAGCCACTCACTCACTCAGCCACTCACTCACCCAGCCACTCACTCACCCAGCCACTCACTCACTCACTCACCCAGCCACTCACTCACTCGACCAGCCAGCCACTCACTCGACCAGCCAGCTACTCACTCACCCAGCCACTCACTCACTCAACCAGACACTCACTCCATCCCCCCATCACCACCCCATATCACCTCCAGAACATCTCCACGGAGTTGAAGCTGATGACGGGTCTCAGGTTGAGGTGCCATGGGCAATAATTTCCATTCTTCATGAACCACAGAGTCCATCTTAGTGGTGGTGAGGGAGAGAAAGATGTGGTGAGGTGGTGAGGGAGGGTGAGGTGGTGAGGGTGAGGTGGTGAGGGAGGGTGAGGTGGTGAGGGTGAGGTGGTGAGGGAGGGTGAGGTGGTGAGGTGGTGAGGGAGGGTGAGGTGGTGAGGTGGTGAGGGAGGGTGAGGTGGTGAGGGAGGGTGAGGTGGTGAGGGAGGGTGAGGTGGTGAGGGTGAGGTGGTGAGGGAAGGTGAGGTGGTGAGGGTGAGGTGGTGAGGGAGGGTGAGGTGGGGAGGGTGAGGTGGTGAGGGCGGGTGAGGTGGTGAGGGTGGTGAGGGAGGGTTGAGGTGGTGAGGGGAGGGTGAGGTGGTGAGGGGAGAGGGTGAGGTGGTGGGAGGGTGAGGGGGTGAGGTGGTGAGGGAGATGGTGAGGTGGTGAGGGAGGGGTGAGGTGGTGAGGGAGGGTGAGGGGTGAGGGGTGAGGTGGTGAGGGGTTGAGGGAGGTGAGGTGGTGAGGGAGGGTGAGGGTGGTGAGGGAGGGTGAGGTGGTGAGGGAGGGTGAGGTGGTGAGGGAGGGTGAGGTGGTGAGGGAGGGTGAGGTGGTGAGGGAGGGTGAGGTGGTGAGGGAGGGTGAGGTGGTGAGGGAGGGTGAGGTGGTGAGGGAGGGTGAGGTGGTGAGTGGTAGGGTGTGAGGGGGGTGAGGTGGTGAGGGAGGGTGAGGTGGTGAGGGAGGGGAGGGGTGAGGTGGTGAGGGATGGGTGAGGTGGTGAGGGAGGGTGAGGTGGTGAGGGAGGGTGAGGTGGTGAGGTGGTGAGGTGTGAGGGAGGGTGAGGTGGTGAGGAGGGTGAGGTGGTGAGGGAGGGTGAGGTGGTGAGGTGGTGAGGGAGGGTGAGGTGGTGAGGAGGGTGAGGTGGTGAGGGAGGTGAGTGGTGAGGGAGGGTGAGGTGGTGAGGGAGGGTGAGGTGGTGAGGGAGGGTGAGGTGGTGTGAGGGAGGGTGAGGTGTGAGGGTGGGGGTGGGGAGATTCCCCTTTTAACAATTCACGACACGAATCGATTATTTCGCCAGCCCCTCCCCCTCAGCCCCTCTCCTTATTCCACCCAGCCCCTCCCTCACCCCCAGCCCCGCCCCTCACCCCAGCCCCTCCCCTCACCCCCAGCCCCGCCCCTCACCCCCAGCCCTTCCCTCACCCCAGCCCCTCCCCTCACCCCTCCTCCCTCACCCCCTCCCCTCACGCCAAGCCCCTCCCACCCCCAGCCCCTCCCCTCACCCCCAGCCCCCCCCTCACCCCCAAGCCCCTCCCTCACCCCCAAGCCCCTCCCCTCACCCCCAGCCCCTCACCCCAGCCCCTCCCTCACCCCCAGCCCCTCCCCTCACGCCAAGCCCCTCCCCTCACCCCAAGCCCCTCCCCTCACCCCAGCCCCTCCCCTCACCCCCAGCCCCTCACCCCAAGCCCCTCCCCTCACCCCCAGCCCCTCCCCTCACCCCAAGCCCCTCCCCTCACCCCCAGCCCCTCCCCTCACCCTCCTCCCTCACCCCCTCCCCTCAACGCCAAGCCCCTCCCCTCACCCCCAGCCCCTCCCCTCACCCCCAGCCCCTCCCCTCACCCCAAGCCCCTCCCCTCACCCCCAAGCCCCTCCCCTCACCCCCAGCCCCTCACCCCCAAGCCCCTCCCCTCACCCCCTCCCCTCACCCCAAGCCCCTCCCCTCACCCCCCCAGCCCCTCCACCTCACCCCCATCCCCCTCACCCCACAAGCCCCTCCCCTCACCCCCAGCCCCCTCCCCTCAGCCCCTCCCCTCACCCCCCAGCCCCTCCCCTCACCCCCCAGCCCCGCCCCTCGTACCGGTTTCTGCAGCACGTGATCACGCTGCCTCACCTCCTGAGGGGAGTGGCGGTGGGGTGGGAGGTCACGTGGTGGTCGTGTTGATTCAACTGTGAGTGGGTGGGTAGGTGGGTGGGTAGATGGGTAGGTGGGTGAGTGGGTAGGTGGGTGGGTGGGTAGATGGGTAGGTGGGTGGGTAGGTTGGGTGGGTGGGTAGGTGGGTAGATGGGTAGATGGGTAGGTGGGTGGGTAGATGGGTGAGTGGGTGGGTAGATGGGTGAGTGGGTGGGTGAGTGGGTGGGTAGGTAGGTGAGTGGATAGGTGGGTGGGTAGGTGGGTAGGTGAGTGGGTGGGTAGGTGGGTGAGTGGATAGGTGGGTGGATGGGTGGGTGGGTAGGTGGGTGAGTGGGTGAGTGAATGGGTAGGTGGGTGCGTGGATTGGGTGGGTAGGTGGGTGGGTAGATGGGTGAGTGGGTGGCTAGGTGGGTGAGTGGGTGGGTAGGTGAGTGCGTGGGTGGGTAGGTGAGCGAGTGGGTGAGTGAGTGGGTGAGGTGGGTAGGTGGGTGAGTGGGTGGCTAGGTGCGTGAGTGGGTGAGTAGGTGAGTGCGTGGGTGAGTGCGTGGGTGAGTGGGTGGGTAGATGGGTGAGTGGATAGGTGAGTGGATAGGTGAGTGGGTGGGTGAGTGGGTGGGTGAGTGGGTAGGTGAGTGAGTGGGTGAGTAAGTGGGTGGGGTGAGTGGGTGGGTAGGTGGATGGGTGGATAGATTGGGTGGGTAGGTGGGGTGGGTAGATGGGTGAGTGGGTGGGTGAGTGGGGGGTAGGTGAGTGGATAGGTGGGTGGGTAGGTGGGTGGGTAGGTGGGTGGGTAGGTGGGTGAGTGGGTAGGTGAGTGGGTGGGTAGGTGAGTGGGTGGGTAGGTGGGTGAGTGGATAGGTGGGCGGGGCGAGTGGGGGGTGAGTGAGTGCGGTGGTGGGTAGGTGGGTGTGTGGATAGATTGGGTGGGTAGTTGGTGGGTAGATAGGTGAGTGGGTGGCTAGGTGCGTGAGTGGGTGGGTAGGTGAGTGCGTGGGTGAGTGGGTGGGTAGGTGAGTGGGTGAGTGAGTGGGTAGGTGGGTGGGTGAGTGGGTGGGAAGGTGGGTGAGTGGGTGGGTAGGTGAGTGAGTGGGTGAGTGGCTGGGAAGGTGGGTGAGTGGATAGGTGGGTGGGTGAGTGGGTGGGTGAGTGAGTGGGTGAGTAGGTGGGTGGGTGAGTGGGTGGGGTAGGTTGGGTGTGTGGATAGATTGGGTGGGTAGGTGGGTGGGTAGATGGGTGAGTGGGTGGCTAGGTGCGTGAGTGGTGGGTAGGTGAGTGCGTGGGTGAGTGGGTGAGTGGGTGGGTAGGTGAGTGAGTGGGTGAGTGAGTGGGTAGGTGGGTGAGTGGGTGGGAAGGTGGGTGAGTGGGTGGGTAGGTGAGTGAGTGGGTGAGTGGGTGAGTAGCTGGGAAGGTGGGTGAGTGGATAGGTGGGTTGGGTGAGTGGGTGGGTGAGTGAGTGGGTGAGTAGGTGGGTGGGTGAGTGGGTGGGTAGGTGGGTGTGTGGATAGATTGGGTGGGTAGGTGGGTGGGTAGATGGGTGAGTGGGTGGCTAGGTGGGTGAGTGGGTGGGTAGGTGAGTGCGTGGGTGAGTGGGTGGGTAGGTGAGTGAGTGGGTGAGTGGGTGAGTGAGTGGGTAGGTGGGTGAGTGGGTGGGAAGGTGGGTGAGTGGGTGGGTAGGTGAGTGAGTGGGTGAGTGGGTGAGTGGCTGGGAAGGTGGGTGAGTGGATAGGTGGGTAGGTGGGTGAGTGGGTGGCTAGGTGGGTGAATGGTAGGTGGGTGGGTGTGTGAGTGGGTAGGTGGGTGAGTGGATAGGTGAGTGGGTGGGTGAGTAGGTGGATGGGTAGATAGGAGATTGGGTGGGTGAGTGGGTGGATAGGTGGGTGAGTGGGTGGGTAGGTGAGTGAGTGGGTGGGTGAGTGGGTGAGTGGGTAGGTGGGTGAGTGGGTGGGGTGGGTGGGTGTGTGGCTTAGCAGTTTAAACGCCATTGAATAAACACGCAAATAAGTACGTTTTTTTACTTTATAAATTAAATGTTGTTTTGACTTTCGCAACTGCAGGAATTCAAATTCTTTGGGTCTTTCGGTAAAGCCACGTGTATATATAAAAAATAATAAAAATATCACGTTTCGATCGCAACACAAGCAATCGTCATGTTACTTTTCTATCTCCGTGGCTTTAACATAAATAGTTCAACGTTAATATGTTGTTTGCCTTACCATTGCTGTCGCGACGGAGTCGATCCGATTATCTCTCCCACCAAAATAAGCACAACGCAATCGCTCCCGTCGTCGTCGTTATTATTGTTGCTTAAACTTTTATATCTTTTATTTTGTGAGGAAAAGTAAAACAAGTAAACCCGTAAAAACAACGTTTTTCACTCTAAATCCTTTATATGCGTGGCGGCTGGAGTCCTCTCGTCCTCTGGCTTGAGATGGCTGCCACCTATGGGTCAGATGATTGTCTGCCAGTATTAAGCAATTGGTAATTAAATATTTAATTTGGTTTCCCTAAACAGTGTAAAATTTTGGATTTTTTTTTTCACAAAAATTAATTGTCACACACAACGAGTCTGTGGAAAATGTCAGCTCGATTGGATCACGGGAAGTGGGTTAAAAACGAGCGAAAGATTTGCACGGTCCTAAGCAAGCAAGCGAACTTAATATAAAGGATTTAATAATATATTCGCCTGTGGAGGACGCGGGGATCGATCCCGCGACCTTTGGCATGCGAAGCGAGGGCGCTACCAACTGCGCTACTCCGCCACGGCCTGTGGAGGGGTTACGCTCTGGGCTCTTATACTGTGACGTTCAGCCAAAGCGATGAATGAGTTATATTTGAATAAATGTAAAATAATTTTTTTGCCTAAAAAGTGTAAAATTTTGGGAATTTTTTTTCACGAACATTAATTGTCTGGCACAACGCGTCTGTGTGGAAAATGTCAGCTCGATTGGATCACGGGAAGGGGTTAAAAAACGACCGAAAGATTTGCACGGTCCTAAGCAAGCAAGTTGCACCTTAATATAAAGGATTTTAAACAGCAAAATTCTCCTCACCGCGTGCCGCAAGCCACAGCAGCGGGGTTTCCTTGCCCACCACTCACAGGGGCCGGGCTGGGGGGTGACTTCACGCATCTCGGTAGCACAGCCAAGGGGAGTGAGGCTCCGGGTGGAGGGGGCTTGGGGACGTCCTCCATCTCGGTAGCAACAGCCATGGAAGTGAGGCTACCGGGGTGGAGGGGGCGGGGCTTGGGGGTGACAGTCACTCATTCTCCGGTAGCACAGCCAATGGAGTGTAGGCTACGGGGAGTTGGAGGGGCGGCGGCTGGGGGGTGACGTCACTCATCTCGGTAGCACAGCCAATGGAGAGTGAGGCTACCGGGGTGGAGGGGGCGGGCTTGGGGGGTGACGTCACTCATCTCGGAGCACAGCCAATGGGAGTGATGGTGGTGGTGGGTGTGGTGATGGGGGTGGTGGTGGTTGGGGGGGCTCATACCCCCACCTCTCCCCCCCCTCCCGATGCCATTTGGTTCGTTCCATGTGCAGCAGGTTTAGAACTCGGCCTGTTGGCTCAGCAGCGAGAACTCGACAACATCAACAACATCGCCACCATCACCTCCCTCCACCATCACCACATCCACCATCACCACCCTCCACCATCACCACCTTCACCATCATCACCTCCACCATCACCACCACCATCACCTCCACCATCACCACCTCCATCACCACCACCATCACCTCCACCATCACCTCCACCATCACCTCCACCATCACCACCATCATCACCTCCACCATCATCACCTCCACCATCACCACCACCACCATCACCACCACCATCACCTCCTCCACCATCACCACATCCACCATCTCCACCATCATCACCTTCACCATCATCACCTCCACCATCACCACCTCCATCACCTCCACCACCACCATCATCACCACCATCATCACCACCACCATCACCCCCCATCACTCCACCATCACCTCCACCATCATCACCTCCACCATCATCATCACCACCACCATCACCACCTCCACCATCACCTCCACCATCACCACCACCATCATCAACATCATCAACGACATCAACGACATCACCGACATCATCGCAATCATCAACATCGCCACCATCACCTTCACCATCATCACCACCATCATCAACTTCGCCACCATCACCACCATCATCACCACCATCATCGCCGTCATCACCATCATCATCACCTCCACCATTATCATCATCACCGACATTATCACCACCATCAACACCCACCATCAACACCCCCCCACCACCACAACCACCGTGCCCCCCCCACCACCACAACCACCGTGCCCCCCCCCACCACCACAACCACCGTGCCCCCCCCCACCACCACAACCACCGTGCCCCCCCCACCACAATCACCGTGCACCCCCCCACCACCACAACCACCGTGCCCCCCCCCACCACCACAACCACCGTGCCCCCCCCCACCACAACCACCGTGCCCCCCCCACAACAACAACCGTGCCCCCCCCACAACAACAACCACCGTGCCCCCCACCACCACGTGCCCCCCCCACCACCACAACCACCGTGCCCCCCACACCCACAACCACCGTGCCCCCCCACAAACAACAACCGTGCCCCCCCACCACAACAACCACCGTGCCCCCCCCACCACAACCACGTGCCCCCCCCACCACAACCACCGTGCCCCCCCCACCACAACCACCGTGCCCCCCACCACCACAACCACCGTGCCCCCCCCCCCACCCACAACCACCGTGCACCCCCCCCACCACAATCACCGTGCACCCCCACCACCACAACCACCGTGCCCCCCCCACCACCACAACCACCGTGCCCCCCCCCCACCACAACCACCGTGCCCCCCCCACCACAACCACCGTGCCCCCCCCCACCACAACCACCGTGCACCCCCCCCCCCACCACAATCACCGTGCCCCCCCACCACAACAACCACGTGCCCCCCCCACCACAATCACCGTGCCCCCCCCCACCACAACCACCGTGCCCCCCCCACCACAACCACCGTGCCCCCCCCCACCACCACAACCACCGTGCCCCCCCCCACCACAACCACCGTGCCCCCCCCCACCACAACCACCGTGCCCCGCCCACAACAACAACCACCGTGCCCCCCCACAACAACAACCGTGCCCCCCCCACAACAACAACCACCGTGCCCCCCACCACCACAACCACCGTGCCCCCCCCACCACAACCACCGTGCCCCCCCCCACCACAACAACCACCGTGCCCCCCCCCCCACCACAACCACGTGCCCCCCCCACCACGACCACCGTGCCCCCCACCACCACAACCACCGTGCCCCCCCCCCCACCACAACCACCGTGCCCCCCCCCCCACCACAACCACCGTGCCCCCTACCACCACAACCACGTGCCCCCCCCCCACCACAACCACCGTGCCCCCCACCACCACAACCACCATGCCCCCCCCCCACCACAACCACCGTGCCCCCCACCACCACAACCACGTGCCCCCCCAACTCACCTGGCATTAGCCGAGTGCCAGTCGAGGCGCATAGCAGAGCCAGAAGAAGCGGTGCTGCTGATGATGCTTCTGCTGCTGCTGATGCTTCTGCTGCTTCTGCTGCTGATGATGCTGATGGTGCTGCTGATGCTGCTGCTGATTATTTTGCTGCTGCTGATATTGCTCCAGCTGATCATATTGTACCAGCTGATGATGTTGCTGCTGATGATATTGCACCAGCTGATGATGTTGCTGCTGATGATATTGCACCAGCTGATGATACTGCACCAGCTGCTGATGTTGCTGATGATATTGCACCAGCTGATGATGATGATACTGCACCAGCTGATGATGATGATACTGCACCAGCTGATGATGATGATACTGCACCAGCTAATGATGTTGCTGCTGATGATTTTGCTGCTGATGATGATGTTGCTGCTACTGATTACGATGTTGTTGCTGCTGATTAATGGTTATGCATGCCAATGATGATGGTGCTTCTGCTGATGGTGCTTCTGATGATGATGATGCTGATGATGTTCCTGCTAATAATGGTGATTCTAATGATGATGATGCTGATGATTATTTTGCTGCTGATGATGATTATGCTGCTGATGATTATTTTGCTGCTGCTGATGATTTTGCTGCTGATGATTATTTTGCTGCTGATGATTATTTTGCTCCTGATGATGATGGTGCTGCTGCTGATTAACTTGCTGCATCTGCTGCTGATGAAATTGCACCAGCTGATGATGTTGCTGCTGATTAAATTGCTGCATCTGCTGCTGATGAAATTGCACCAGCTGATGATGTTGCTGCTGCTGCTGATTTTGCTGCTGATGATTATTATGTTGCTGATTATTATGATGGTTCTGCATGCTGCTGATGCTGCTGCTGATGAAGAATTCCTCACTCAAGAGCGCGCCACGTGATTGGTCCACGTGGCACCCAGCAACCTCCAACCATCGCCTCCTCTGATTGGACGGTGCCCCCGAGCATCGTGCGCTCCTATTGGCTCAGCCGCGCAGGAAACGTCATAGCCGATTCGATTCCTAATTATAGCTCGATACGATTCAGCCGCTGTTCAACAGAGGGCGGTGGGAATCGATGATCGATTCTATGAATCGTTTGTTGTTGGCTTCTCAGAATGGAGAGAATCGATTGAATCGAATCGAAACTGCGGAATCGCGTTTGGATCGCCCCTCGCGAGCTACAAACTGAGGTAACGATTCTCGTCTCTAAGGCGTCTGTGACATCCTTTGGCAGCATTTTAACTCCCGTCTCCATGGTTTCTCACCCCCCACAGTTATAATACTTTGGTTCTAATGGGTTTATCTTCTTGGTTCTTTCGGTAAAGTCACGTAGAAGGGAAGTAATAAAATAATAAATATTTTTATTATTTTATTAAAATAATAATTATTTTTATTATTTTATTACTTCCCTTCTACGTGACTTTACCAAAAGAACCAAGAAGATGAATCCCTGCTGCAGTCACGAAAGCTTTAAATCGAAATATAATGGGTTTGTTGTGCCCCGTATTGTAATAGGGTAACGAAGTGATGACGTCACCTCTTGTAAACGTCTCTCCTAATTAACATAATTTATGGGCGCGTGACGTCAGGCTGCAACCGTCACCGCTAATTAACATAATTTATGCAGCGGTGGCAATGGCCTCAGCCAATGGGAAGCCGCCGTGGCGGTGACGTCACCACTATTGACGTCGCCGGAAGAGACTGGCGCTTTAAATGTCCGCGTTAAACTTCGAAACGCACCAAATTATTATTATTTAAGTTTCTTTTTTGCCTTCTTCTTCTTCCTTCTCCTTTCGGTATTTTCAGTTTTTCTCCTTCTTGTGAAAACCGTCGTGCTTTTTTGCGAAGAGAGGTGCGTTGTTTTTAGTTGTTGTTGTTGTGAACGCGTTCTGCCTCTCCCGGGGTTCAAGTCGCGACGACGCCTCGCGCCCTCGTGGTTTAGCATCGTCCATTGTTATTATTTTATTTGTATTAAAATAATGAAAATAAAATAAGAATAAATGAAAAATTGATTTAGTTTAATGCATTATTATTTTATTTGTATTAAAATAATGAAAATAAAATAAGAATAAATGAAAATTTGATTTAGTTTAATGCATTATTATTTTATTTTTATTAAAATAATGAAAATAAAATAAGATTAAATGAAAATTTGATTTAGTTTAATGCATTATTATTTAATTTTTATTAAAATAATGAAAATTAAATAAGAATAAAGGAAAATTTGATTTAGTTTAATGCATTATTATTTTATTTTTATTAAAATAATGAAAATAAAATAAGATTAAATGAAAATTTGATTTAGTTTAATGCATTATTATTTAATTTTTATTAAAATAATGAAAATTAAATAAGAATAAATGAAAATTTTATTTAGTTTAATCCATTATTATTTTATTTTTTATTAAAATAATGAAAATAAAATAAGATTAAATGAAAATTTGATTTAGTTTAATGCATTATTATTTAATTTTTATTAAAATAATGAAAATTAAATAAGAATAAATGAAAATGTTATTTAGTTTAATGCTTTATTATTTTATTTGTATTCAAATAATGAAAATAAAATAAGAATAAATGAAAATTTGATTTAGTTTAATGCATTATTATTTTATTTTTTATTAAAATAATGAAAATAAAATAAGAATAAATGAGATTTGATTTAGTTTAATGCATTATTATTTTATTTGTATTAAAATAATGAAAATAAAATAAGAATAAATGAAAATTTGATTTAGTTTAATGCATTCTTATTTTATTCTTATTAAAATAATGAAAATAAAATAAGATTAAATGAAAATTTGATTTAGTTTAATGCATTATTATTTAATTTTTATTAAAATAATGAAAATTAAATAAGAAATGAAAATTTGATTTAGTTTAATGCATTATTATTTTATTTTTATTAAAATAATGAAAATAAAATAAGATTAAATGAAAATTTGATTTAGTTTAATGCATTATTATTTTATTTTTATTAAAATAATGAAAATTAAATAAGAATAAATGAAAATTTTATTTAGTTTAATGCTTTATTATTTTATTTGTATTAAAATAATGAAAATAAAATAAGAATAAATGAAAATTTTATTTAGTTTAATGCATTATTATTTTATTTTTTATTAAAATAATGAAAATTAAATAAGAATAAATGAAAATTTTATTTAGTTTAATGCATTATTATTTTATTTTTATTAAAATAATGAAAATTAAATAAGAATAAATAAAAATTTTATTTAGTTTAATGCTTTATTCTTTTATTAGTATTAAAATAATGAAAATAAAATAAGAATAAATGAAAATTTGATTTAGTTTAATGCATTATTATTTTATTTGTATTAAAATAATGAAAATAAAATAAGAATAAATGAAAATTTGATTTAGTTTAATGCATTATTATTTTATTTTTATTAAAATAATGAAAATAAAATAATAAATGAAAATTGTATTTAGTTTAATGCTTTATTATTTTATTTTTATTAAAATAATGAAAATAAAATAAGAATAAATGAAAATTTTATTTAGTTTAATGCATTATTTTTTTATTAAAATAATGAAAATAAAATAGAATAAATGAAAATTTTATTTATTTTAATGCATCATTATTTTATTTGTATTAAAATAATGAAAAAAATACGAATAAATGAAAATTTGATTTATTTTCATGCATCATTATTTTATTTATTTTAAAATAATAAAAAAATAAAATAAGAATAAATGAAAATTAGATTCATGTTCATTTATTATTGTATTTTTATAATTTTTGTGATTAATTTATTTTCATTAATTATTATTTTATTTCCATAATTTTTGACCTACGTGACTTTACCGAAAAAACCTCAGAGTTTGCATTGATTTTGTTACCTGGGTTGTGATCTTAATATGGGATCAGTTATAGGAGTGACGATAACAATCGGCTTGTTAACGCAAGAAGACTTCTCACGTGTTGATTGCTCGACTTGATTCGTGGCGACTTGCGCTTGGCTCTGCCGCACTATTGTGGGATATCGACTCTGAGGCCCTGGCTCTGAGTTACCACCACAGATGGGATTATGCCCTAAATAGTTTTAACAGGGAGATTTTTAATTCTTGCTTCTTTCGGTAAAGTCATCACGTAGAAGGGAAATAATAGAATAATACAAATATAAAACAATACAATTCTCACCACGTTTCGACTGCAACACAAGCAATCGTCATCAGGTGTGACATCCACAGCAAGAACATTTTTAACAAGCGACTTGAATTGTTGCTGCTGTTCCCGGCCAAATATACAGCAGCAGCAGAAGACATCGTCAGGGTCGGGATCGAACCCACGACCAGGCGAGGGAGTTGACATCGTCACCATCATATTCTTGTTTCTTTCGGTAAAGTCACGTAGAAGGGAAATAATAAAAGTATAAAACAATAAAATTCTCACGAAAGCTTTAAATCAAAATTTGAGTCCATCTATGCTCGTAAAAGAATCACTGTCCGTGGTGCTGACGTTAAGAAAAAATTGCCACTTTTTTAAAATGTTCTTGCTGTGGTTTCACAACCTGATGATGATTGCTTGTGTTGCAATCGAAACGTCGTGAGAATTGTATTGTTTGATATTTTTATTATTTTATTATTTCCCTTCTACGTGATGACTTTACCGAAAGAGCCAAGAATATGAATCCCTGCAGTCACCAAAGCTTTAAATCGACACCGTCACCACGGGTTTGCTTCTCCTCTGCGCAGCGCCGACGCCGGCCACGAGGGTTGCGATGGATCTCCTGCGAGGCAGCACCAGGAGCCGCTGCTGCTGCCATCTGCTGCTGCTGCTGCTGCTGGGACACTGCACCTTGGCACAGCTGTGGGCAGTCGCCAGCCCCTCGTGGTGGTAACCGCGTTGAGCCTCACGAGTTTCTAAGTTCATTTATTTCCCTGAGCGACCTTCTTGCCTTCTCTATCTAGATTTTGCACGCCCCATGCGCTTGTTTGTGTTTTTGGTTCAACGCCTCGTAGCAGCATGGCTTCAAATACACAGCAGCAGGTGTCGGCATCGAACCCACGACCTCCCACGCACCAGGCGAGGTAGTCAACATCCCCTGGCCACCGTGACCCCTGACCCCCCCCCCCACGTCCCTCGCAGGTCGCTGGCGCTGTGGGCCCCAAACTTCGACCCCTCCGAGCACCGGCTGCTGTGCGTCGTGGCGCCGGGGCTGTCCCCCCGGCAGCGCAACATTTGCCTGCAGCGCCCGAACCACGTGGCGCACGTGGCCGAGGGCGCCCGGCTGGCGCTGGCCGAGTGTCGGCACCAGTTCCGGGCCAAGCGCTGGAACTGCTCCACGCCGGACCCCGCGTCTCCTCAGCAGGGTAAGGGGCCCGTCGCCTCTCGACTGACCTCTAGCCCAGACACGCCTCCTTCTAGAACCTTCTACCTCTAGCCCAGACACGCCTCCTTCTAGAACCTTCTACCTCTAGCCCAGACACGCCTCCTTCTAGAACCTTCTACCTCTAGCCCAGACACGCCTCCTTCTAGAACCTTCTACCTCTAGCCCAGACACGCCTCCTTCTAGAACCTTCGACCTCTAGCCCAGACACGCCTCCTTCTAGAACCTTCTACCTCTAGCCCAGACACGCCTCCTTCTAGAACCTTCTACCTCTAGCCCAGACACGCCTCCTTCTAGAACCTTCTACCTCTAGCCCAGACACGCCTCCTTCTAGAACCTTCTACCTCTAGCCCAGACACGCCTCCTTCTAGAACCTTCTACCTCTAGCCCAGACACGCCTCCTTCTAGAACCTTCTACCTCTAGCCCAGACACGCCTCCTTCTAGAACCTTCTACCTCTAGCCCAGACACGCCTCCTTCTAGAACCTTCTACCTCTAGCCCAGACACGCCTCCTTCTAGAACCTTCTACCTCTAGCCCAGACACGCCTCCTTCTAGAACCTTCTACCTCTAGCCCAGACACGCCTCCTTCTAGAACCTTCTACCTCTAGCCCAGACACGCCTCCTTCTAGAACCTTCTACCTCTAGCCCAGACACGCCTCCTTCTAGAACCTTCTACCTCTAGCCCAGACACGCCTCCTTCTAGAACCTTCTACCTCTAGCCCAGACACGCCTCCTTCTAGTTGGTGATGGTGTGACGCGCCCACACTCGTGATGTACCCCTCCTGGCCGACAGGGGGCACCCTGTCACTGCACTAGTCAAGGATTCGCCGCGTCCTGTCTGCGTGCCGAAGCCGTATTGACGCAATATGACCCCAACAACAACCCTGTTGTAGATCTGAGCGGGTCTCTGTGGGAACAACAATCACATTGTCTCACCAACGCACGGTTAGTTCCAAATCCTTGCCGATTGCGATGCGGTGGTGGTTTTAAGGACGTGAAGTTTCTATTCGGCGATCTACGCCGGAGGAGAGGGAGGGGACAAAACCCCCCTCCACTATAGACAATTGCTGAGCTAGTTGTGTCGGGGATAATCGTGGCGGTCTCTGGGGTGGTAGGTGGGGGTGGGGGCCCAGGCACGCGCGAGGCGGCCTTCGTCTGGGCCGTGACGGCCGCGGGGCTGGTGCACGCGGTGGCGCGCGCCTGCCGCCACGGGGCGCTGCCGGGCAGCTGCTCCTGGGTGGTGCCCGGCTCCACGCAGCAGCAGCAGCAGCAGCTGCCGCGACACGGAGCCCGGCGGGGCGGCGCCGCCGACGACGTCGAGTACGGATACCGCTTCGCCAAGTGGTTCGTGGACACGCGGAGACAACCACGGGGAGGGGGGGGAGGGGGGGAGTCTGTGGCGAAGCTCGGACAGATGAACCAGCACAACACGGAGGCCGGCCGGCTGGTGAGTGGGCGGCTGGTGACTGGGCGGGTGGTGGGTGGTGAGTGGGCGGCTGGTGAGCGGGCGGTGAGTGGGTGGCTGGTGAGTGGGCGGTGAGTGGGCGGGTGGTGAGTGGGCGGTGAGTGGGTGGTGAGTGGGCGGGTGGTGAGTGGGTGGTGAGTGGGCGGGTGGTGAGTGGGCGGTGAGTGGGTGGTGAGTGGGCGGGTGGTGAGTGGGCGGCTGGGCAGGTGGTGAGTGGGCGGCTGGTGAGTGGGCGGTGAGTGGGCGGTGAGTGGGTGGTGGTTGGGTTCAGCTCGTAGTTAACACACCACCTTGATGGCAACCCTTTTCGAAACACAACAAAAAATAGCCAGAATCACTCTTAATATTCATGTTTATAAAAGGCAGACACCAGGGTGAACGGGTGGACTATTATACGCCGAGGAGAGGCTCGCGGAGCCCCAGTGTGGTTTCAGGAAAGGGCGGTCCTGCACAGACGCCATATTTGCTGTCCGTCTGCTACATCAGAGGTGTAGGGAATTCCAACAAGACCTACATCTCTGCTTTATTGACCTGGTCAAGGCCTATGATACCATGAGTAGGCCTGGGCTCTGGGGTGTTCTTCGTGCTTTCGGAGTCCCGGACCCTCTGCTCACGGGCCTTCACGATGCTGAGCACGCCGGGTAAAGCTGCGTGGCCGGGAGTCGGAGCCACTCCCTGTTCGTCTTGGGGTGCGGCAGCGATGTCCTCTGGCTCCCACATTAAGTAAAAACGTTTTCGACCACGTAGGTCGTGAAGCCATCCATGACTGTGCCGACATCAGGTACAGATACAATGGGAGGCTGATCGATGCCCGGGTGCATTCAAGGGATGACTCCCTAATTGGTCGACCACGTTATGTATGCCGATGATCTGGTGATTGCTGCACAGAGGAGTTGGAAGCGCTGCTGCGGAACCTGGAGCTTGACACTAAGAGGTGAGGCCTTGCCATCAGCCCCACCAAAACTAAGCACCCGCCTGGGTATTTGTGCCATCAGACATTCCCATACCTGGGCAGTGTGCTATGACCAGCTCTGATGTGACAGCAGAGGTCTCAATCAATCGATTGGCAATATCTTGGCATTGACTGCACCATGCTGTGTGGAAGATACCTGGTCTGTTGCTCCACACAAAGCTTCGGGTCTTCTCAGCCATGGTCATGCCCTCCCTTCTCTACACTTGCAAAACGTGGACCCCCCCCCCCCCCCAATGTAACATCTTTGCCGCTTAGAAACATTCAGGCTGGCCTGCCTGCAATCCATCCATAATTCGATTATTTAATTTATTTTCTTTCTGCGTGCTCACACATTCCCGGAAGACCTGGACAAAGTTCCACCGTGAGCTCCTCCGGCAGGCAAGGCTGCGTTGGCTGGGTCATGTAGCCCGCATGCCCAGCCACCGCATGCCTACACAGCTTTTGTTCGGCCGGATAGAGGGTGCTTACATGCTGGAGAAGGGATGCAGTGACGTGGTACAGGAGGACACGGAGCTGAGTGGACTTGGCAATGACCGGTACCAGCGGTGTCAAGATCAGCCTCTGTGAAGGAGGCTCGTGAAGGCTGCTACTGGGCAGTTGGAGGCAGAGGGGCGACGCTCACAACAACGAGCGGAGCGCCGGGCGGCTACTATGCAGCCAGCTGGCACAGCAGGGGCCACACACAGGTGGTGCACTGGCCAATCATCTCAGTCAGTCGACCCGTGGCACCTGCTGGGTCTGTCCCGCGACGTCCTGCCAGTCGGGCATTCGACACTTCACGTGGCCTCAAGGTGCACACGGCCTGGCACGAGCGTCGTGGTGACGTCACCGCCACTTGCGGGCAAGTGGCTGTCGGCAGTGACGGTGGTGGTGTTGGTGGTGACAGTGATTGTGGTGTTGGTGGTGACAGTGATTGTGGTGTTGGTGGTGACAGTGATTGTGGTGTTGGTGGTGCTCCAGGCGGTGTACAATCTGGCGCACGTGGCCTGCAGGTGCCATGGTCTACACGGCACCTGCACGCTCAAGACCTGCTGGCAGCAGCTCGCAGACTTCCGCCAAGTCGGCGACCTGCTGAAGGTGAGTTCACGGTGCAGGTGATGAGACCGCACCCCAGAGGTCGCAATCGGGTACCCGATACCCGTACCCTACCCGATACCCGGCTACCCGTACCCGGCCGGGTACGGGTAGCCGTTTGCGACCCTGGTGCTGCCGGGTGCGGGTAGGTCGTGAGTCACTGGTGAGTCACCGTTTGTCACTCATTTCCCAACGTCTTGTCTCTTCTCACAATTCAAGTTCCTAGAATCAACCCACCCGCGCCTGCAACATGGCTTCATCCCAGAGGTCGCAATCGGGTACCCGATACCCGTACCCTACCCGTACCCGGCCAGGTACGGGTAGGGTACGGGTAGGGTACGGGTAGGGTACGGGTAGCCGTTTGCGACCCCGGTGCGGCCGGGTACGGAGTGGGTGGGTGGGTGGCAGTGACGAGGATGAAATCCACCGCAGGGTTACAGATGGGGGGGGGGTGGGGGGGTGTCTAACAGTTAAGTGGGCTCCGCGCATTCACTCAGCACGTGGCAGATCATCATCATCATCCTCCTCATCCCGTGACAATGACGATGACGACGACGACGACGATGGCGGCTGCAGGAAAAGTACGAGAGAAGTTCCGCCATGCGGCTGGTCAGCCACGACAGCAGCAGCGATGGTCCCGGTGGCGGCGGTCGCGGTGAAGCCGGCGGCAGCGGCGGCGACGCCCGCCGGTCCCGCCGGCGGCTGGAGCCGGTGAACGAGTGGCTGGTGGCGCCGACGCCGAGCGACCTGGTGCACGTGAGCGCCAGCCCCGACTACTGCGAGGGGGGCGGCACGGCGGGGGGGGGTCCGTGCAACGTCACCTCGCGGGGGGGGCGGGGGGGGGGCTGCTCCCTCACGTGCTGCGACAGAGGATACGACACCTCGCAAGGTGTGCCCCCCCCCCCCTGCCAGCCCCCCAAATAAACTAGAACATCTTCTTGGTTCTTTCGGTAAAGTCATCACGTAGAATGGAAATAATAAAATAATAAAAATAAAACATTCAATTATTCTCACGACGCTTCGGCCACAACGCAAGCAGCCGTCCTCAGGTGAAGAACAGGTCTGTCGGAAAGACAGAGTCTGAATGAACACCACTAAGCTTGGCAGCGTATATTTAAGCTTAAATATTTAAGCTTAAATATACGCTGCCAAGCTTGGTGGTGTTCATTCAGACTCTGTCAGCTTAAATATACGCTGCCAAGCCTGGTGGTGTTTCATTCAGACGCTGTCTTTTCGACAGCCCTATTCTTCACCTGAGGACGGCTGCTTGCGTTGTGGCCGAAACGTCGTGAGAATAATTTTATTATGTTTTATTTTTATTATTTTATTATTTCCCTTTTATGTGACTTTACCGAAAGAACCAAGAAGATGAATCCCTGCAGTCACGAAAGCTTTACATCGAAATTAAACTAGAACAATCACAAAGTGACGACCGCTTTTTACGAGTTGTTGGGGGCGTCCGTGGCGGTGCCCCTCGCAAAAGCGTTTGCGGCCTTCGGCCAGGAAAGTCTCAACTTGCGCGCATTCACGCGAGCGCCCGACGCTGCGTTTAGAAGTTTAGTCTTGAATTATTCAACGTAGAAAGAGAGATAAAGTTGTGCGCTTACCAATGTAACGGAGCGTGTTGGTCCCTGCGACTTGTTGATTGTGATGGCGTATGCAGGGAGAATGGCAAATTGTCATCGTCGTCGTTGCAAAACAAAAGTCGTGTCGGTGGGTGCCAAGTCGATTCTGGGAATCGACACGAATTGCCTCGTTCTGCAGATCGATTTCAACGTAGTCGAACGTCTGTCCCTGCGCCTCCGTCGTTCAAACGACGGGAGGTGCAGCGTTCATGACGGGTAAAGTTACGCGTTTATATGATGAATTTGTCATGGCCCACCGAGCTACGTAGATCTTGATCAGAGGCGGCCCAGCCGCAGACGATCGGTCGAAGCGGCTCGTCACGTACAAATGTACAGCAGCCAAACGCTCTGAGAAGCGCGACGTTTAAATTGAAGAACCGGAGGACCTGGAGAATAATCCACGCGTCCACGGAGAGACACGCAAACTCCAAATATACAGCAACAGCAGCAGCAGGTGTCGCCAGTTGGGATCGAACCCACGACCCCTGACCCCTGCACGTCAGGGCAGCCCCGAGCTCTCTCAGACTTAGCCTTTTATTCCCCCCTCGGCCGCCCCTCCCAGTCACGGTGGAGACGCAGTGCGGCTGCAAGGAGCAGCTCCAGCGGAACGTCCAGTGCAAGCTGTGCCCGTGGACGGTCGACCAGTTCTACTGCAAGTAGCCTGCAGCAAGTAGCCTGCAGCAAGTAGCCTGCAGCAAGTAGCCTGCAGCAAGTAGCCTGCAGCAAGTAGCCTGTGGCCTCGGCTGGAATCGGACTCCGTCTGGTTTCGGCCGGTACCCGTGGGCCCCACCGGCACCACGGCACCCACCGCACGTCGTCACCGCGAGCCGCTCTGCACCGTGCCGATGTACACCGGAGTACCGCACACTTTACACTACAGCACCCTTGTGTGTACACTGCAGTGTACACACTTTACACTACAGCACCCTTGTGTGTACACTGCAGTGTACACACTTTACACTACAGCACCCTTGTGTGTACACTGCAGTGTACACACTTTACACTACACCACCCTTGTGTGTACACTGCAGTGTACACACTTTACACTACAGCACCCTTGTGAGTACACTGCAGTGTACACACTTTACACTACACCACCCTCGTGTGTACACTGCAGTGTACACACTTTACACTACAGCACCCTTGTGTGTACACTGCAGTGTACACACTTTACACTACAGCACCCTTGTGAGTACACTGCAGTGTACACACTTTACACTACACCACCCTTGTGTGTACACTGCAGTGTACACACTTTACACTACACCACCCTCGTGTGTACACTGCAGTGTACACACTTTACACTACAGCACCCTTGTGTGTACACTGCAGTGTACACACTTTACACTACAGCACCCTTGTGTGTACACTGCAGTGTACACACTTTACACTACAGCACCCTTGTGTGTACACTGCAGTGTACACACTTTACACTACAGCACCCTTGTGTGTACACTGCAGTGTACACACTTTACACTACAGCACCCTTGTGAGTACACTGCAGTGTACACACTTTACACTACAGCACCCTTGTGTGTGCACTGCAGTGTACACACTTTACACTACAGCACCCTTGTGTGTACACTGCAGTGTACACACTTTACACTACAGCACCCTTGTGTGTACACTGCAGTGTACACACTTTACACTACACCACCCTCGTGTGTACACTGCAGTGTACACACTTTACACTACAGCACCCTTGTGTGTACACTGCAGTGTACACACTTTACACTACAGCACCCTTGTGTGTACACTGCAGTGTACACACTTTACACTACACCACCCTCGTGTGTACACTGCAGTGTACACACTTTACACTACACCACCCTCGTGTGTACACTGCAGTGTACACACTTTACACTACAGCACCCTTGTGTGTACACTGCAGTGTACACACTTTACACTACAGCACCCTTGTGAGTACACTGCAGTGTACACACTTTACACTGCACCACCCTTGTGAGTACACTGCAGTGTACACTGCAGTGTACACACTTTACACTACAGCACCCTCGTGTGTACACTGCAGTGTACACACTTTACACTACACCACCCTCGTGTGTACACTGCAGTGTACTCACTTTACACTACAGCACCCTTGTGAGTACACTGCAGTGTACACACTTTACACTACAGCACCCTTGTGAGTACACTGCAGTGTACACACTTTACACTACAGCACCCTTGTGAGTACACTGCAGTGTACACACTTTACACTACAGCACCCTTGTGTGTACACTGCAGTGTACTCACTTTACACTACAGCACCCTTGTGTGTACACTGCAGTGTACACACTTTACACTACAGCACCCTTGTGAGTACACTGCAGTGTACACACTTTACACTACAGCACCCTTGTGTGTACACTGCAGTGTACACACTTTACACTACAGCACCCTTGTGAGTACACTGCAGTGTACACACTTTACACTACAGCACCCTTGTGAGTACACTGCAGTGTACACACTTTACACTACAGCACCCTTGTGAGTACACTGCAGTGTACACACTTTACACTACAGCACCCTCGTGTGTACACTGGAGTACCACACACTTTACACTACAGCACCCTCGTGTGTACACTGCAGTGTACACACTTTACACTACAGCACCCTCGTGTGTACACTGCAGTGTACACACTTTACACTACACCACCCTCGTGTGTACACTGGAGTACCACACAATTTACACTACAGCACCCTCGTGTGTACACTGCAGTGTACACACTTTACACTACACCACCCTCGTGCGTGCACCATGAGCCACGTGGCACTACAGCCCCTTCACACCACGACATTTGTATCCAATCTTCTTTACCTATTAAAGTCGTTGTTGCCTCTCTCTGTGTGTGTGTCTGTGTGTGTCTGTGTGTGTGTGTCTGTGTGTGTGTGTCTGTGTGTGTGTCTGTGTGTGTGTGTCTGTGTGTGTCTGTGTGGATGGCCACGTGGAATGTTCGAACGCTCACTGCGGAGGAGAGGCTGCCACTTCTCTGTCGGGAGCTGGACCGGTACCGCCTGGATCTCTGTGGCATTCAGGAGGTCCGGTGGACCGGTTCTGGCTCCTGCCACCATGAGGGGTGGACAGTCCTCTACTCGGGGCAGGAGACTGCCAAACAACAGGGTGTGGCTCTTCTTCTGAACAAAAGAATGAAGGGGGCGTGGGAGCGTGGCGGTGAGGTGTGGGAAGCTGTAAGCCCCAGGATACTTTGGGCTCGCCTTCCCATCAACCAGAGGCGAGGAGTGGTGGTCGTGGTTACTTATGCCCCCACCGAAGACGAACATCCGTGGAGGGATGCAAGCAAAGCCGATGAGTCAGACGCTTTCTATGACCTCCTGTCACAGGTGCTGGCTAAAGTGGCCACTCGGGACAGAGTCATCTTGTTGGGTGACTTCAATGCCCGAGTCGGTCATGATGCTGACACCTGGTCTGGAGTGATTGGAAGGCATGGGCCAGATCAGCTCAATAATAACGGTAGGAGGCTGCTAGATTTTTGTGCAGCCCATGGGCTTGTAATTACCAACACGCTCTTCCGGCATCGGCGCATCCACACAACATCATGGATACATGCCGGGTCCAAGCAAGAACATCTGCTGGACTACATAGTGACGGACCAGCGGATGCGAACCCATGTCCTTGACACCAGGACCTACCGTGGAGCTGATCTGTCCTCTGACCATCGACTAGTCATCTGTAAGATGCGCCTGCCTTTCTTCCACTCCGGTGGTGGGTGTACACCCAGGATCCCATTCCAACCAAAAGTGGCCTGGTCTCAGTTAGCTGATGAAAGTTGCAAGCGAGAATTTCATCATCGCTTGCAGCTGGGGTTGGCATCGTCCCCCACTCCACCTGATGTCGAGGGTAAATGGGCGAGGTTTAGGACTGTGACTCATGCAGCTGCAATGGCTGCTTTGGGTACGCGGTCCAGACCTCCCCAGAAACCCTGGCTGACAGAGGAGGTGTTCAGGTTAATTGAGAAAAAGCGACAGGCCCACTCTCATCGCCTACAGCATCCCACGTCAGAGAATGAGGAGGTTTACCGCAGCCTTCGCTCGGAAGTTCGGAGAGCCGTAAGGCGTTGTAAGGATGGGTGGTGGTCGCGGGTTGCTGAGGAGATGGAGTCTGCCTCAGTGGCCCGTGATCACAAATCACTATTTAACTCCATCAAAAAAGTAACCTGCAGCGCCACACCTATTACCATCATTAGAGGAAAAAACGGTGATCCAATCTCCGACCCCCAGGAACAGGTTTGCAGATTTGCTGAGCATTTCTGTGAGGTCCTGGGGGAGGGAAATTCTCTCAGCCAGGAAAACATCATGGCACAAAGTGGGGATAACCCTGCTGAGGCTGCGGTGCCTCAAATATTGGAAGAGGTCACCCCCTGTGAGTGGCTGGCTGAGGTTCCAGCTGTTGAGGAAGTACTGAGGGCGATCCGGAGTCTGAGACCAGGGAAGGCACCGGGCAGAGATGATCTCCCAAGCGAAATGCTGAGGGAGGGTGGCGTTTGTGCACAGACTGCCCTATATGACATCATAACAACAGTCTGGACCACTGGACGGGTTCCGCAGGACTGGAAGGATGCCCTGGTGGTCCCCCTCTTTAAGAAGGGGGACCGCACAGACTGTAACAACTACAGGGGCATCTCACTCCTCAGTGTGCCGGGTAAGGTCCTGGCAAGGATTATTCAACATCGCCTTGCTAGGCACGCTGAGGAGGGGCTTGCGGAGCCCCAATGCGGTTTCAGGAAAGGGCGGTCCTGCACAGATGCCATATTTTCTGTCCGTCTGCTACAGCAGAGGTGTAGGGAATTCCAAAAAGACCTACATCTCTGCTTTATTGACCTGGTCAAGGCCTATGATACCATCAGTAGGACTGGACTCTGGGTTGTTCTTCGTGCTTTCGGAGTCCCTGACCCTCTGCTCACGATCATTAAGGACCTTCATGATGGTGAGCGGGCCCGGGTAAAACTACGTGGCCGGGAGTCGGAGCCTTTCCCTGTACACCTTGGGGTGCGACAGGGATGTCCTCTGGCTCCCACATTATTTAACATCTATTTTGACCGCGTAGTTCGTGAAGCCTTCAATAGCTGTACCGGGGGAATTTCCGTTTGGTACAGATATAATGGGAGGCTGATCGACGCCCGGGTGCGATCAAGGGATGGCTCCCTATTGGTCAACCACGTTATGTATGCCGATGATTTGGTAATAGCTGCTCATTCAGAAGAGGAGTTGGAGGCGCTGCTGCTGAGACTGGAGCGTGCCACTAAGAGGTGGGGCCTTACCATCAGCCCCACCAAAACCAAGCACCTGCCTGGGTATTTTGTACCATCGGACACTCCACCCCCACAACTCCCAATTGGTGATGGGGCAGTTGTGGAGAGAGTGGAGAGTTTCCCATACCTGGGCAGTGTGCTTATGACCGGCTCCAGTCTATCAGCAGAGGTCTCACTCCGAATCAGTCGAGCGGCAATATCTTTTCATCGGTTGCGTAACGCTGTGTGGAAGCTACCTGGTCTGTCGCTCCGCACGAAGCTTCAGGTCTTCTCGGCCACGGTCATTCCCTCCCTTCTCTACGCTTGCGAGACGTGGACCCCCCTGGTGGAGCATCTTCGCCGGTTGGAAACATTTAGGCTGGCCTGCCTACGATCCATCCTGGGTTTAACCAGGCTGGATTGTGTGAGGAGCTCACAAATCCTTGAAAGATCTGGGCAAAGTCCCATCAGTGAGCTCCTCCGGCAGGCAAGGCTGCGTTGGCTGGGTCATGTAGCCCGCATGCCCAGCCACCGCATGCCTAAACAGCTTTTGTTCGGCCGGATCGAGGGGGCTAGACGGGCGCGGCACGGGCTGGAGAAGAGATGGAGTGATGTGGTACAGGAGGACGTGGAGCTGAGTGGACTTGCCGATGACTGGTACCAGCGGTGTCAAGATCGGCCTCAGTGGAGGAGGCTCGTGAA